ATGGGGTCAGCAGTTAATCCAAACAGAGCTTTGTTAAGGGCACCAAGGATGCACAAGGGCCAACAGCTCTTTGTTGGTTTAAAAAAAAAAAAGTAAATAACAACAAAACTGAGAGCAAAAGTGGTGTTCTTTCTACTCAAAGAAGGGTAAGTAGTCTTCCCCCACATGAAAGTATACTAACGGAAACCATTAAAATCTCCAGAGAAATGTGTGGGAATAAGAAAAATTACTGAAGATGTAAAACATTCACTGGTTAACCAATCAGTAATCTGTGTGCTTTTCCAGAGAATGTAATGTCTGTGTCCCCTCAATATTCCATCTGAATGGAGCCATTTATGGATTTCTGAAGTGCGCGTTCAGTGGGCCAATTTGATGAATCTAAGTCTCATCTCAAAACAGCATAGAGAAGGCAATGAAAGTCTAGTGTTACAACAAATATACTGAAACTTTAAAATATACATCTTACTGTTCATAATTTCCCCTCTGAAAAATAAGAAAATCTTAATTCCTCACGTTGTCAGATCAATAAAAGGAAACTACTTAGAAGCACACATAGTTCCCAGTAGATATAGAGCACAGAAATCTTAGACTATTTGGGCTTTTTTAAAAATTTCATTGTTCGTGTAATGTTAGTCCCAGGCTTTCACTAGAAGAGAGCCTCTCCAAGGCCCCCATCCATGTGGTCAAAGCAAAGTGACACTGTCACTTTAGAGGACTCTGGATCACAAAGTCCTCCTGTGTGATTTCATTCATTGAGGGATGCTCAAAGTCCCTGCCCTCGAGACAAACACAACAGAGTAAATGGAGAAAGGTGTGTGCACAAAGGTGCACCTCAAGTGTCGACGGTGTCACAAGAAAGACCGTGCAAACTGCAGCTCAGAAGAGAGGGGAGAGTGCTAGATTCCATAGGAGTAAGGGCTCAGACTAAGCTCCAAAAGGAGAAGTGGTAGGAAATGAATCCTGAAAGATGAACAGCTTTCTCTGTGTGTGTCTTGGGATCAGAGAGTGCATTTTGGAGCAAGCAGGAAATGCAATAACAGTTTTTCATGGCTGATCCTATTCTGCTTTCCATTCCTTAGGAAGACAGAGGACAGAACATTGGTGAACGGTGACTATTCTAATAGAAAGTCGTAAAATCATCAGTGACAGTCTTGTTTTACACGCTGTAAACAGGGAGAAGGCACCCAGTGCCTGCCAGTTTTTCTTATGAGTGCTGTCAGAATGGTTGTTTCTGCCTCCTCTCAGAAGATGTAACATGAAAGGAAAAAAAAAAAAAAAAAACACTGGTACGGAAGGAAAAAAGAGAGGAAGAACAACATAATAAACCAGATCTGTTGGGGTTCTGGAAGTATGCTTCCTAATTGGAATGGCTCTTCCTCTTGAAAATCTAATAAGGGTGGGTTTTATCCCAAACACATGGTAGGTAGTGATTATTATCCCATATATTATCATGGAGAATGTCTTGGAACAGAATTTCTATCTCTGAATACCTCATCAATTTAAATACTTTTGAATTACTTTCCTTTTCTCAGTATTTACTGTGTAAATACTGAAAAAAATGTTTTTTGCCTTTCTCGAGGAAGCACCAGAGATGGCTTTCTCTCTCTCTTTCTCTCTCTCTCTCTCTCTCTCTCTCTCTCACACACACACACACACACACGTACATACCTCACAGTCATAAAAAGGTAAATTTAATCACTGAAGAATCTAAGACATGAACCCCAAGTTTTCCCTCTTTGAATATGTCCTTATGATCAGTTTGATTAGTGAATTTCAGCATTCAATATAAACCACTTTGGTCAAGGTTAGGCACAGCAATTGCCCCTACAATAGCCTCTAGAGTTATAGCAACACAGCACATCAACCACAAAGTGTCCAAAGCCAACTGAAACACTTCAGAAAGTAGTAGAGGCAGTACTGTGATACATAAAAAGAATGGAAGAACCGCAGGAGCTATGGTTATGTTTTGTGAGAAATCCCTCAGTGTTTCAGGGTCTTGACCTGACTCTAACTGGTTTGGGGCTAATAAATCACTATCTTTTTGAGGACCCACTAGGCATAAAGACTATAGCTACATAGTTCCACTTTTGTAACTTTGTGAAAAGTTATAAAACATACTTTGACTACTTCCAACTAAGAATGACTTCAAATAATAAACTGTTCTATTTCTACAGATCATAAAGATATTCCTGCCACCAAAAAATGATCTCTGTCCTATTAAGCTTTATCAAATACCTCTCCCCACTTCTTCTGGTTGTTATATTTTTTTCCTCTTAGGTAACTCAATTATTCCAACATGTACATTGTAATTCTCTGTGTGTGTACTCAGATCTTAAATTCAAGCCAACTAACAGCCTGCCTCCTGCAAAAGGGGTACAGGCCGTTTCTTTACGTGTACTTTTTGTTTTGTTTTGTTAAGTGGGGGAACAAATTCTGTTACCTGACCAGACCTATCATAATCCCCTATGAAATTGCAGGCAAATCCCTGCCCCTCCTTCCCTTATTCCAAAGTCCAGAGTGCTCTAGCACCTAAATCATTTTGTTTTGGAGATAGGGTCTCACTAACCTTACTTGGACTGGCATCATGCTCTCAATCCTCTAACCTATTCAGCCTCCAAACTAGCAAGGGAATTAATCTAACCTGGCTTATCATGATTTTTTTTTTTTTTGGTAGTACTGGGGACATACATTCTTCACTGAGCCACACCCCTCCAGCCCTTTTTTTGTACTGGTTATTTTTCAAGCAGAGTCTCACTTCCTGCCTGGGTGTGCACTTGGATGGTGATCAGTGATCTGCCTGTGTATGGCCTCCTGTCACAGCTGGGATGACAGGCATATACCCCCATGCCAAGCTTCCCATGTTGAGGTGGAGTCTTAGGGACTTCTCTGCATGGGGCTGGCTGTAACTACAATCCTAATCTCAGGCTCCCAGTTTCCAGGCTGATGAGACAGAAGGGATCTCCCATATGTGTTCTAGCTGGCCTTGAACCGCATCCTTTAGATCTCAGCTTTCTAAGTAGCTAAGGATTATAGGCGGGAGCCACCAGTGCCTGGCTCCCTCAATCTCATCATTATTCAGTTTCTTCACTCTTCCAGAAGACTGGGTTTCAACTATCCTAAAATACAATGAATGATTCCTGTGACTCATCAAATTTCTCTTCTCTCCCCAGTCTCCTCCCACACGCAGAGCTGACCCCAGGCCTTCATTCAGTGTCAAGTGATAAAGCTTACACGACTTTCTCTGAAATATAAAGCATGGTGCTCAGACTACTCATGCTACTTATTGACACCCACGAGTCCCTTGTACTTCTGATTCAGAGAAGAAGAAACAAAAGTGACAATTCCCTCCTTCAGAAATCTAATATTTTTGCTTCCTTTTCAGCTGTTATTCTGGGGGAGGATTTATTTACTGTCACTGTGATCTGGTTGCTAGGTCCAGTAGCTTATTCTGTAGGAGTGATAGTAGGGCTTAGTTTTCTAAATATTAACCTTTCCTTCAAGTGTTTGGCTTTTTTCTTACTGACTGCTTCACCCTTTACCCTTTCTGACAAAGGGCTATGGTTGGTACCTATACAAGGAGAAGAGCTCTAGCTCCAAAGGGTATGTATATTCTGTTTATTAAAAATGTTAACAGTCATATGGTTTCCTGAAGACAAGTAGCTTAGACCCTAAGTCCCATAAAGACTAAAGAAAATCATTCAGGACTCCGGAACTGATCAGACTGCTTCTAGTACATTTTCCTGGTAGGTGTTTCATGGAACACGTCTCTAGAATGCCACTCTAACACACTATCTACCACCACCACCATCCTCCCCCCCCAAAAAGAAGCAAATTTCTTAGTTTGACCTAAACAGCTTTTCATTTATTTCACTCAATGAATGCTAAACTGACTGCCTATTGCATCCATATTGCTATGTGCCTACTGGGAGCTCTGGAAAGGAAATGGGGTCTCTTTGCTTTTCTCATTTCCTAGAGGCTGCATTCCTTGGCTCATGGCTACTTCCTGCACTTGCAAAGCCAGCAGTGAGGCATCTTCAAATCTCTGACTGTCCTAACACATTCACTCACTTACAAGAACCCCTATGATTACAATGAGTCACCCAAGTAATTCAGGATAATATCCCATCTCAAGTTCCACAATGTAATTAATTATAAGAAGCCTCTTTTGCTGTGTAATGTAAACACAGACACAACTACTAATTTCCTCTCTTTAGAGAGAAATCTTTCATCCAGAATTCCAAGGTAAACAGCACTTCTGCAATGACAGCTCGCCACCTAGCTGCCACACAGAATAACTCATGACGGCAGAAGGAAGATGGCTGTTCAATTCTTACAGAAATGTACAACAGGTAAAAACAGGAAGTTAGCATGACATCTACAGGACAATTTGTTTTATCTGTGCATCCCATTACCTACCCTGGCTAGACTCCTTCAAAAGCTTATAGGTATTGTTTGTTCCCAGCTCAGTCTATGTATGTATTTAGTTGTTTAATTAATTCAAACTCAATTCCTGAAGTGTATGCCAGTTAAGCCATGTGTACAATGTATAAAACTTGCTTTCATATTTCTGTGTCACATGAGAGTAACCATTGATTATGGCAAGTAAGTGATACATACAGGCAGAAAACTCAAAATGAAATACAGTATTCAGAGAAGACATGATTATCAAGTATTAATGTAATTTTTGAAGAATGTGCTAAAATGACAATAATGAGTAACAGCACTTAAAATTTTTTTTGGGGGGGTCCGGTCGTAAGGCCTGAACTCTGGGCCTGAGCGCTGTCCCTCAGCTCTTCAGCTCAAGGCTAGTGCTCTACCACTTGAGCCACAGCACCACTTCCAGCTTTTTTCTTTTTGCTTATGTGGTGCTGAGGAATCAAACCCAGGGCCTCAGGCATGCAAGGCAAGCGCTCTACCTCTGAACCACCTTCCCAGCCCCAGCACTTAAAATTTTTAACAACAACAACAACAAAAAAACAACAACTACAGTATTTACTCACATATAATGGAGCTTGCTGTGGAGTAAGTTTCATGACCGAGGACACTGAAAGAGAAATACAAGATATAAATAAGAATAAACTATTAAAAAGATGCTAAAAGATGTTTCCTGAAATATAAAAAAACACTTAAAGGTTCAGCTCTGTGAGTGTAATCCAACATGTATGATTACTGTGTATCCGGCTTTCCTTAGAGTTTGGGAAGGAGAAAGCTCGAAGACTGCTGAATTACTTATATTCCAGACTGAAATCTCTCGAGAAGGGAGAGAGATTTGCTAATTGAAAAATAAAGACAGGAGGCTTTTCTGTCACAGAAATTTTCAACAACCAAGAGGACATTTAAAGCAATACCAAAGTAGAACCAGTAGAATCTGGTTTGATATAACCCTACAAACTCACAAAATGCTGCATACCCAGGAAGGAGGCTCTCCCCACATCCACCAAGGAGGATTGGGAGGGTGAGAGATGACAGAAAAAGGGACGCTGCAGCTTGCCGGGAACAGCTGAACGGCTATCCTTCTCAAAGCTAATGGCTGAATTCCCTGGTTATTTCTGTCACTAAATGAATTCTCACAAAAGAGCTTTAGAGAAGTCTTCCAGGGTTGTATAATATACTTCTGAATAGTAAGAATAGCATGTTCTCCAAAGTTGAACTTGGTGATTCACTAGGGCTTCAGAATGGCAAATCTTCCGCCAAACACTCTGAATGTGGACATAAACCAATTTCATGCTCACTAGAGTCAGAGTAGACCCGAATGACTTCATTATAATTCCATCTGAAGAAGTTTCTTATTCAAAATACATAAATTAAGGTACATACTAATCATAAATGTAAACAGCACAGAAATGTTATTCACAGAAAAAAAAATAAATTCCACATCCAGTATTCTACCAGATTATAACCTCACTAGCAATGAAGTGAAATCCAAACAGTACAAATTAAAGGTTATCAAACCCAGAGAATGATGTCCATGGGTGACCATGGGTGATTTCAACAAACTCTGGGTGTGAAAATCCTCACAGATCTGCTCCAGATCATCTCTAACCAGTTGCAGGCCACAAGCTTCACTGTGTTCTGCTGGTATAAAGGCAGTAAGAGAACCAACTCAGGCACCTCTGCACCTATTCTCAATTCTCCACAACTGAATGAACTTCCTGGTTCTGGCACACTTTCCTCCCTGCCTGCCTTCATTTAATGAGCTTTTGCCTTTAGGTGCTAAAATTGAATGAAAACCAGTCTAGAGAAAGGAGGAAATAAGCAATTTCTCTTTAGTGGAAAAATTAAGTATATTTCAAGTCCATTATATTCAAGTCGTAAGCATGGATGAAAGAGAAAGTTATCCATTTTTGTTTGTTTGCCGGTCGTGGGGCCTGAACTCTGGGCCTGGGCGCTGTCCCTTAGCTCTTTAGCTCAAGGCTAGTCCTCTACCACTTGAGCCACAGCACCACTTCTGGCTTTTTCTGCTTATTGTGGTACTGAGGAATCGAACCCAGGGCCTCATGCATGCAAGATAAGCACTCTACCACTGAGCCACCTTCCCAGCCCACCCAGTTAGTTTTAAATCACTGGGTTTTTAGTCAGCTTTCCAGATCCTATTCAGACTGTCCTGGGACAATGGCTAATTTGAGTTTCTGTGGCTGAAATTGAGTAAGAGTGCTGGTGAAACTCACATGGATCTAAGGAAGGATCGATGCCATCTGAACTGTGGGGAATCATGAACTCATCCAGACATATTTCAAAGCCAGAACCTGTACAAGTTGTCCCAGTGCAGGCATTAAAGAGGGATGACAAAGTGTCAGTTCTCCCACACTGGCCAAGAAGACAGGTCATTGTTACGCAGGCAGCACTGGCTGCCAGAAAGAATAGTTGTCAAAAGCAATCAAAGCAATGATCAGAAGGTTCCAAAAATGGAGACTTGTGATGGTAAGTTCAGATGACTTTTAGGTTTCAATACTGACCCACAAGGAGAAAGGCAGAACTAACCTTCATAGAACTTTCTTTCTATTCTCTCCATTTTAATGGTAAAAATATTAAATGTTTCCAATATTACATTATTTAAAACTAAAACAAAAAGTGAGAGAGACCAGAGTCCCCCAAAAGAGGGATTCAAGCCCTGATATCAACACATGTACTTTTCTCCAACATAGCTAAGCAAGTCCTTGTTTTGACAACAGAAATTTTTTGTGAAATCTTCCCAAAAGGAAAGTTAATGAGCTGTGCTAAATCTACCAAATAACTTAACCAAAAAATATTAAGAGAGAAACTCTACTATTTCTCCCTCAGCAAATAACCAAGTAAGTAATTTAAAGCAAATTCACAGGTTGAAATCAGGCTGCTTTCACATACCAACGCATGAGAAATGAGACTAATAAGCTCATCTAGCATTAGAAAGATTAAGAATGGTAATAACAAACTTCCAAAACTTAAATGAGGTGGTGTTAGAATATTCACCAAATGCACTACTCAAAACTAAAAGCAGCTACATGTACAAGGAGAAGTCACAAACTTGAAGGGTGTAAAATAATAAGCAGAGGTAATCACTGAGTGCTTTTGTTTTCCCACATCTTCCACTCTATTTTAAAATGCTGAAAGAAAAGTAACACATGATGTAAAACAACACTCACCCAATTTTAATATTAACTTTCTCAGTTATGTAAACAGATGCTCTCTTTCAAGACCTATACATAAATCTGCTCTTCTGTCTGGTGGCTTATTTATTGGTTTGTTTTGGTGGCACTAGGGATCAAATCCAGGGCCTTGAAAGGCACCACACAAACTAAGCCACAGCTCAGTTTTAAAAGAAGCAAAAATGGTAGCTTTAATCCTCCTGCCCTTGTTACCAAGATCAGAAAGGAAAAACCAACTCTCTGGAAGGTGGGGCCCCAGACAGAGATAAAGCAGGAGGCAAGTTTCACCAAGCGGAAAAAGGAGGCTCACAGAGCAGAAAGAACAGCACAACAAGATAAGAACTATACAGATGAATGAGAAGTGCAAAGAAAGGGCAGTAGGAAAGAACACTTCTATGACTCACATAGCTCCAGGAGGCCTGGCCTTAGAAATCATGAAAAGGAAAGGCAACAGCATCAACAAATTTTCTGCCTTTTATTTTCTTTATGCTCAGCTCAAATTTCTATTATTCACAATTGTAATCTCTAAGATTCACAAAAAGTAGCATTAGAAGATGCTACATGGGCTACATAGACTTAATCTCAAACCCAGGAAGAGCCAGGAATCTGCTGTAAATCAGAATTAAATCAATTAGGCCAGAGCCTCACCATGGCTTCTCTGAGATGCAACATGTCATAGTTGGCTTTCCAGTCCACCTGCAAAGGCGCTGCATTCCCCTTATCTACCGTAAAGTCAAACACCATCAGTCACAAAGCATGGTTTAGAGGGGTACTGGGAACGCTGAGCAGCCTGGGTCAGCAGCCCAGGCCAGTCATCCTTCTTCCCAGGGAGAAACTGCTGCCAGTTTTCCTGCCCGCGCTTGTCGACGTGAGCTCCAGGGCCTCATCACCGTAAGAGAATCTCTCCAGGCAACATGTGCCCCTCTGACTCAACCTTCCTAAAATGCTGTTTTCATTCTGTAGTACCCTCTCTGCATACCGTGTAGTAAGTGCAATCTTTTTTAAAACATTTCTTTTGAAGTAACAACTAATTCTATTCCTTTACGGAATTCTCGGGTACAGAACTGACATAGTGATCTTCCATGACTCAAGAAAGAAAGAGAAAATATAAAAGCAGTTTGGGGGCAAATTTGCCTACTTTAGTTTTTTTTTTTTAAGAGCTTCCAACCTCCAATGTGACCTATCAGTTACGTAAAATAAATAGTTTAATCACTGTTCTGGACATGTGTTTCTATAAATATGGTTTCAGGGCCATAGCTTGATGGAGGGCTCCACAAAGCGTTATTTTCTGCAAAATGGGGATAAATAAGGATATAAGATATAAAAAACACTTAGTAAAGTATTATTTAGGCAATAAGAAAATAATAAAGTAGGTTCCTGAATTACATGACAACTAACCAGGTTAGCACTAACCTGACATCACAATCAACTCCTACATCCTACTTACTTATGCTCATCACCAATTCTAACGGAAGACTGATTGTTTCTGAGGAAAATGTAGACACCAACAGATCTAGTACTCTGTTAAAACATGCCATTTATCATTGGTGAACCCTCAGAAGCCCTCCTCACTCCCCTCGCTACTCCTCTGGTGCCTCTCAGTCATGTTCAGGGCCCCAGTCTATGTGCCATCTTCTTTAGCACTCCTCTTTCCCCACCCACCCCTTCCATCTCAGTCCTCATGCCTTTGCTCATGCTTCCACCCTTGCAGACTGCTACTATAGAATTTTTGCTAATAATCTAAGCCACACAGAAGCAATAAGTGATGTGTTATCTAATGTTTTTTTCCCTCTACTTCTGTCTGACTTTTCTCCAACTTGCTAACTGTTCTCTAACACACTGACAATATCTTTTGCAGCACCCCTCCATACCATCACCATGAATGCCACATTATCTGCCAGTGTGAACCTTCAAGTAAATACTACAGACAGACTTATCCAACATGAACATCAAAGGCAAGTTAATCAGAGTTTCTGTGCAATGGATGGATGGTCTACAAGTACCCCCCAAAAAAATCACCCTATCAAAATGAAAGTATTTAAACCCTGCCTACTCCCAGAAGAAAGCCCCAGTACTCCTAGAAGGTCACTCTAGTAGCTTACTAAGACAGTACAGATCCTGCCAAATGCTAACAAGCTCAGCCTGAGACAATTTCTTGCTGAGGACAGGGGCAGACTGGAGGGCTGGGCTTGCTCTTTCTGGAGAACCTCAAGGTGAGGGGCAGGTGAAGGGCCATGCTGCCTCAGACTCCACATGATGGACAGTGCTTCTGGGAGGTGCACGTGGACATCATTTCAGTTCTCTTTTGGTGTCAACAAAGGTCTGTGGTTTCCTGAAAATACAGTTTCTACTGCTTGCAACGATCTATATAGAGAAGAAAACTCCCACTGGCCATTCCACAGGTGAGAATTTTG